CTGGTGAGCCAGACTCCGTCTCAAAACAAAAAAAGAGAGAGAGAGAGAGAGCCCACTGAAAATGTTTTAAATGAGTCTAGAAATAGATAATGAAGATTTCACAGACTGTCTGGCTGAATTTCATATACCACATCACTCTGATGGAAAGAGCATCTTCCTACTGGGTAATACACATCAACGAGAATATAGAAACCAGTCTCCTGTGGGCCTTTAACAGGTTATACCTTCCACTACTCACTGCTCTGATCACTAAAAGGTTACTTTCTACCACCAATACTTGTAAGGCTATCACTCTTTCATCTCTCCTAACCCTAACATTTCTGAGGAGTCTCTATGGAAACCACTATCATAAAAGCAGGCTAATCTATGGGAAGTCCAACCAGAGGACCTATGGTAAATATTAAACCCCAGAAGGACTGTGTCACTGCAGGAGAATTACAAGCATAATGGATACTTGGAAGTAATGCTGTCTGGACATCCATTTTCCATCTCTTTTTCATCCACCCGTAGGATCTACGATGCCTCAGTGATTTTCACAGTCTTTACTCCCTTAAGCAGCAGTCCTTTCTTTCAGCAAAAATTTGTGGAAGTTCAATACATAAAACATAAAAGGCAGAGCTGCTGGTTGATGGGACAATAAGGAGGTCCTCCTTATTGTCAATAAGGACAATTATTGACAATAAGGAGGCTTTGTCCTCCTCCCTCACCCCTTACCTACCCACATGACACTATGGAATCCCAAGGGAAATAAGGAACCATGTCTGAAAAGTAATGGTTTGGTGAGGATGATAGTGATTTAATTAATATAGTCTTTAAGAGAACAATAAGTAATAATAAGTCATAGTCCTAGCTTCATAGGAGCCTTTTCTGAGTAGAGTGCTTCTGTTACATGTTTACCCATTTCAGTTGTAATCAACTTCTCAGTTTGATAACTTTAATGCCTAGGAGCACAGAACTCTTTGGTTTCAGGAAAAGTCACATTAATACTACATTACGCATGTCTCTCTAACCACATTCATGACACCTGGGGTTTCCTCAGGTAAGTGTAGCTGCTGACCCAGGGTTTGGCCCATGTGAAATATTTAGGAGAAGAAAAAAGGTTTAGTGAAGTAGTAAAGTCAACTAGGAGAGCCAAATCACCTGCAAATCAGGATTTGAGAAGTTTCATCTAAGTATGAAAACACTGAAGTTACTTGTCACAGATGAGCCACCTCAGAGAAAGAAAAATAGATATTCAAAGTTTCCCAGTCAAAAGAGAATTTTTCCGTGCTACAGTCATGCACAGCATTGGTACTGGGAAACTTCAAGTCAGGTTCATTTCATGATGTGACAGGGCAAGTGATCGAAACTAGATTTTCTCATCATATCTGAAAGTATCACTAGGATATCATTATGAAAACTAGTGGCAATTATGTTCTTGTTTTTTTTTTGTTTTTTTGTTTTTTTTTTTTGAGACGGAGTCTCGCTCTGTCGCCCAGGCTGGAGTGCAGTGGCACAATCTCGGCTCACTGCAAGCTCCACCTCCCGGGTTCACGCCATTCTCCTGCCTCAGCCTCCCGAGTAGCTGGGACTACAGGCGCCCGCCACTGCGCCCGGCTAATTTTTTCTATTTTTTAGAAGAGACGAGGTTTCACCATGGTCTCGATCTGCTGACCTTGTGATCCGCCCGCCTCGGCCTCCCAAAGTGCTGCGATTACAGGCGTGAGCCACCGCGCCCGGCCATGTTCTTGTTTTTTAGAGAGGTTTTAAGCTAAATTGAATGAGGATTAGGTTTACTAATAGAATGGATTCACTGACGCTATTACCCAAAGGGAATACTTATAGCCACTAAAAGTATGTTGGAAAAGAACATTTAAGCACATAGGAAAAATGTTGCAATTATACTAAATAAAAATGGATATAGAACACTAAGATTTTAAGTTTGCATTTTTAAAAAGACATACATATTCATAGGAATAAAAGCTGGAAGCATCTTTACCAAAATATTATCAATGGCTGTATCTGAGTGCTAATCTTTATTTTGTTGTTTAAACTTTTCAATATTTAACAAATTTTCTTTTTTTCCTTTTTGTTCATACTTAAACAAATGTTTTTTATATTTTTCTTCTTTTCTACTTTTATCTTAGGTTCAGGAGATACATGTGCAGGTTTGTTACATGGGTAGGTTGTGTGTTACTGAGGTTTGGTGTACAAAGGATCCCATCACCAAGGTGGTAAGCACAGTGCCCACAGTCTTCCAATCCATGCCTCCCCGACCCTCTCTCTCAAGCATTCCCTACTATCGTTCCGGTCTTTATGTATTCAATGTTTAGCTCCCACGTATAAGTGAGAACATGTGCTTTTTGGTTTTCTGTTCCTGCATTAGTTCACTTAGAATAATGGTCTCCAGGTGCTTCCATGTTACTGCAAAGGACATGATTTCATTCTTTTTTATGGCTGTGAATATTCATCAAATTTTCTATGTAGAATCAGGAAAAGACACTTAAAAGCAGAAAGAAATTTTATTTACTGAAAAGAAATGGTGTACCTAAAATTCTGAGATTCATATATAAATGCCAGAGCTGTCCTTAACTGTGTGATTGTGTGGCAAAATTCCAGTCCCAACTTGCTTTGGAAGAAACAGCTGCTTATGCAACTGCTAAGGTGAGTCGACCCTAATTGCTGCTAACAGTGTGGTAAGCACTGGGTGGGAAATGGCATGCAGCCCAAGCAGACACATCTAGTTCTCAAGAGTGGCTCAGTCCATCATTCACCAGAATTGCCACTGTCCTGACAAAACCTCGTTGACGAACAACACCAACCCCATCTAGAAGCTTTTGCTTCTGTGAGGATGAGGCTTATTTAGCTGTTTAGGACTGCCTTTGTATGAATGCTAAACATAAGAAAATTCTTAGACATGTTTATGATCTAAATGTCACCACTGTGTATAATCAGCAAGGCAATGTAATTGTTAGAAACATTGCTGGTGAAAAACAGATCTAGGTAAAATTCTGGCCCTGCTATTTTCTAATCACATGAGCTTGGGCAAGTTTCATAATCTTATAAACCTCAGTGTATTCATCTTTCAGTGAGGTTGACCACATCTATCTCTCAGGATTTTTAGGATCATTTAAAATATTTTTCAGTATGTACATCCACTAATTTAATGAGAACATTCTAGAAGCCTAAATATATAGAAATTTCAAATTATTTAGCCCCTTATTGAAAAAAATCAGATACCATATATTCTTAAGCTTAAAACTTATATCCTTCTATATAAGGCAACTTCCCAGCTGTACACATTGAAAGTGGTCACTGAGCCAAAACTAAGTACTTGAACAGATGTTCTATATTTTAAAGAATTCGGGTTCTAAAACAACTTTGTGAACTACGGGAGAATATTTCTGGCAAAATCTTATCATTCTTCTATGTCATCTTCAATAACTCTGTACTAGTAGGACTATATTAGAAATATAAAAGTCCACTCCTGTCTCCCATGCTAGACTCATAATCAACTCAGAAAACACAGAATCAGTAAAGACATCAGAGCCTATGTGAGAAAGAGGGCATATTTTAATAACGTCTCATACCAATAATATATTCTCAGTGATATTATAAAAATAATAAAAGTTGGAAATATTTAATTTTAATGATTCAAATTAAGTGTTATAATTATAAACCAAATAAAATGCCATGAAATGGGGGGAAAGTAGCAAAAGCTGAAAAAAGAAGATTAAAATTCCACAAGAATAAGAATTTTTTTTTTTTAAGATGGAGTTTCACTCTTGTTGCCCAGGCTGGAGTACAGTGGCAAGATCTCAGCTCACTGCAACCTCTGCCTCCCAGGTTCAAGTGATTCTCCTGCCTCAGCCTCCTGAGTGGCTGGGACTACAGGCACCCACCACCATGCCAGCTAATTTTTGTATTTTTAGTAGAGAGGTGGTTTCACCATGTTGGCCAGACTGGTCTCAAACTCTTGACCTCAGGTGATCAGCCCGCCTTGGCCTCCCAAAGTGCTGGGATTACAGGTGTGAGCCACCATGCCCAGCTGAATAAGAATATTTTTAAAACTCTGCTTCAAAAAGGGAATACAGTAGGGCATACTATTTCTATGGTACACAATTTAAGACAGACTCAGTGCTGAATTCCATTCTTGCCACTTACTCTCTGGGAATAGCAGGCCAGTTGTTTAACCACTTGGAACCTTATTTCCTCATCTGCAAAATGGGACTCGCTTAATGCTTTCATGATGGTGTGACAAAGACACGTAAAATACTCAGCACAAGGTACATTTGTAGTGTTCTTCATTGGTAGATGGAAAAAGACTACAAAAATCCTAAAGGATCAAGGTGACATATGACAATAACATAGGCTGTGCCTTACCAAGAAAGCCAGTGCATCCAAAGCCAGACATCCACCAAAGGTCACAGGATATGAAATAATGGATATGAAATAATGGGTGTCCCTGATCTTGATGATACATTGTTGAGGAGATAAAAATTAAAGGCTAAAAACCAAGAAAATTGGGTAAATATTTAACAGGGGTCAAGAAACAAGCAGGTCAAAGTAAATGACTAAGAGGGAACCAATCAATCTGATACAACCATATCCAATCAGAAATGACCTTGATGATGTTCAGGGAAAAGTAAAGCCAGTAACAGCTGGTTTATGAGACACATTTGCTGAGCTTTGACATTGACTGCTCTACTCCCAGGGAAGAAGGCAATGAGGCCTTTAATTAGAAATTTGCTATCACTTTCATGTGACAAGAGTCTAATGTTCTTGAGGCATTGGGAAGGACACTCAAGGGTCTGAATCAGAGTTCATCAAAGAGTGACGAGTGACATCCCACCACACAGACAAGGTTACAGAAAGACACCAGGTATTTCAGGCCTGAGAGTTCTGTCCTATGAACAGTGGGATTCAAGAGAAGAGCTCATTCCCAGAGAATGACTCCATTTGACTGAGTAGAGCAGAGTGGGCCACATCAGGTTCAATCAGAGTTCTCTGTTAATACATACCTCCAACAGCTGCTGTTTTGCATTTATCGACAGGTTCCTCTAAAAGTAGTCTCAGGTATACTTGCTGAGGCAGGGTCTCGTCTTCTATTTCATGTTTCCAAACCATACACTTTTGGGTATCCCAAAGAACTCAGTGGTGTGCCTGGAACAAAGAAGCGGTTTCAGCTTAACGACTTCAAAACAGAATCACAAAATTCTACAGCTGAGAGAGACTGTGTAAATTCAGTGCAGTTCACTATAAATAAAAGGATTAAAGTACTTATAAACTTGGAAACAAAGAATTCATAATGAACCTTCCCTACCTCCTCCCATTTTTTCTTTCTTTTCTAGCTTTTTAATTGTTGTATTTTTTACAGTAGTATAATATACACATATAACATAAAGCTTACTCCATCTTTTCTAATTAAAAGTTAAGTTTTTAGCCCTATGACTATAAAAGGTGTTTCTCCTTTTATATAATTATCTACTATTTTTAGTTGCCAACGAATAATTGATTATCATAAATTAAGTATAAGTTTGAAGTTTCAGCTTCAAACTGAAAACAAAGGTAACTACTGAGTTATCGTCTTTACAAGTTGACTTATAAAAATGTTATGATCTCTCTGGAGCCAAAACATTACCCTGATAAGTAACAGCTTTTATAGTTATATATGTGTACATGGTACACATTTCCTGGCAGCATAATCAGGAAGCTAGAGACAATGTCTTGTATTAAAGAACAAAGAGGGCTATTCATTTAGTGCCTCATTTGTAGTAATTTGTACTTATGTGTGGAAGAATATGGAATCTCATGGTAGCTAGAAAGGCAGTATATTTTGTTCGATCGTATTTAATTTAATCAGTAACATTTTCTTTTTTTTTTCCCCCCCGTGATAATCTATAAGAATTAGGCTCTCAACCCTTTTCAGGATCATATACACCCTACAGTATTCAGTATCTATGAAAACTAAGCCTGTTCCATCCCTCCCCACTTAAATTTCAGGACAATCGTTAACTCCTTAAAGCTAGCCCTGGACCCCAGGATAAAAATCACAGGTGCTCTCCAGCTGTCAAGCTGGGGAGCTGATACCTTGAGCCAACTAACAGACTTAATTCTATAAACCATTCTTATAGACAAAAACAATCCACTACTCTCAACAGTCCTAAGGACTTAGTTAGGACCAGGCATCCCTCCGCACCCTCCCATCTTTTAATCATTATTTATTCTATCAGTAAGAAATGGTGCTACATCTGTAAACAATCAAACATAGGCACAAAGAAAGCAGTTATCAACTAAAACAGCAATAAAATAAAACAAACAAAAACTAGGACTCTTTTGCCATTACATTAGCTTAAAAGTATTCAATTAAAGTTTCAGGCCAGGCGTGGTGGCTCATGCCTATAATTCCAGCAGCACTAACCTAGGCAACAAAACGCTTAGGAAATGATGGAGATTCTGGTTCCTCAGAAGGGGAGCGGGGAAGACTGAAAAGATGGGGGTGGTGAAGTGTGTATTAAAAAAAAAAAGACCCTTACCCCGCACCATAAATTAAAGTTAACTCAAGATGGAGTAAACACCTAAAGACCTGAAACTATAAAATTCCTAGCAAAAAAAAAAAAAAAAAAAAAAAAAACATAGAGGAAACGCTTCATGACATTGGAGTTGGCAATGATTTTTTGGATATGACATCAAAAACACAGGTTAAAAAAAACACACACAAAATAAGCAAATGGGACTACATCAAACTTAAAAACTAAAGGAAGCAATCAACCAAGTGAAAGGACAACCCACAGAAAATATTTGTAAACCATATATCTGACAAAGTGTTAATATCCAGAATATATAAAGAATGCCCACAATTCAACAACAAAAAGCTAAATAATAATTAAAAATTGGCAAAGGATTTGAATGGACATTTCTCCAAAGAAGATATACAAATGGTCAATAAGCACATGAAAAGATGCTTAACATCCCTAGTCATCAGGAAAATGCAAATCAAAACCACAATGAGATATCATCTCACACCCACTAGAATGACCACTATCAAAAACAGAAATAGAAAATAGCAAGTGTTGACAAAGATGTGGAGAAGTTGACTGGAATATTTGTACAGTGTTGGCAGAAATGTCAAATGGCACATTTCTGCCAGTTATGGCAGTTTCTCAAAACATATGATCCAGTAAGCTCACTTTTGGTATGCATCTGAAAGAATTGAAAGCAGGGTCTTGAAGAGATATCTGCACACCCCTGTTTACTTAAGCACTACTCACAATAGTTAAGAGGTGGATGCAACCTACACATCCAATGGCAGATGAATAAAGAAAACATGGTATATACATACAATGGAATATTATTCAACCTTAAAAAGAAGGAAATCCTCTTATGTGCTCCAACATGGATGAACCTTGAAGACATTATGCAAAGTAAATCAAGCCAGTCACAAAAAGACAAATATTACATGATTCCACTTATAGGAGATATCTAAAGTAGCCAAATTTACAGAAACAGAAGGTGGTTCGTAGTTGCCAGAGGCTGGGCAGTCGGGCTAAAGGGGTGTTGCTGTTCAATGGGTATAGAGTTTCAGTTTTGCAACATAAAAAGTTCTAGAGAGCTTTTGCACAACAATGTGTACATAGTTAACACTACTGTACACTTAAAAATGATTATATTTTATGTTATGTGTTTTTTACCACAATAAAAACAAATGAGAGATTATCCTGGATTATCTGAATGGGCCTAATATAATCACCAGGGTCCTTAAAAGTGGAAGTGGTAGACAGAAAAGGAAGTCAGAGTAATGCAATATGAAGCCATTTGACCACTGTTGACTTTAAAGATGGAAAGGGGCCAGGAGCCAAGAAATGCAGCCAGCAGCTAGAAGCTAAAAAATAAAAACAAGGAAAGGGACTCTTCCCTAGAGCCTGTGGAAAAGAGTGCAGCCTGTGGACACCTGTTTTGTTTTGCTACAGGGTCTCACTCTGTCGCCCAGGCTGGAATGCAGTGGCATGATCCCTGCTCACTGCAACCTCTGCCTCCAGGGTTCAAGCGATTCTCATGCCTCAGCCTCCTGAGTAGCTGAGACTACAGGCATCCACCACCACACCCGACTAATTTTTGTATTTTTTGGTAGAGACAGGGTTTCGCCATGTTGGCCAGGCTGGTCTTGAAATCCTGACCTCAAGTGATCCACCAGCTTGGCCTCCCAAAGTGCTGGGTTTACAGGCATGAGCCACTGCGCCTGGCCCGTTGATTTTAGCCCAGTGAGACCTGCCATCAGACTTCTGACGCACAGAACTGTAAGATGATAAATTTGTGTGGAGCAAAGAAGGGGAGGAGGGAGGGAAGAAAGGAGAAAGGGAGGGAGTTAGAACCCTAGATCCTCTCCCTCACCTGGTAGAGTCAAACAAACCATCTCTACATCCTTACATCCCTGTAAGAAGGGGCAGTTTACCCTCTGGAGAAAATGATACAGCAAGACTTCAAACCTAGACTCCAGATAAGGCTGAAACAAAAGCACTGGATCTAAGCATTCTCAGGCTTGGATGGTGTGACCTCTGGCTCCCTTCCTCCTCACTCCTCTGTGGTGCCCCAAATCCTCACAGGTAGGCTTACACCCTACAAAAAAAGTAAACAAAGAATTCCTTTTTGGATAAACTGAAAGGTCCAAGGAAAAAAGTCTACAGATTTTGATATATGATAATTACCCACTGAAATGGCTAGTAAAGCCTCTGCTCAAAGACCTTAGAGTGAAGCCAATCAGGTAACAAATTTGCAGTCCATTTTTTATTGTCTTACTCTTAAGTAAGAACAGACAACTAAATCCCCAGCACTCATTTAGGAAGAGCCTTTAACATTAAAATCAGTGATCAAAATAAGAAGATAAAGGGAACACACAGGAAAATGTGCAAAGAACAGGAAAAAACAGCAAAATAGTCCAATTCATATTCTCAAAAAAATGAGAAAATATTGCATCTATGAAACAAAAACAGGATTCTAATTTTTAAAACAAAATATTCATAGACTCTAAAAAATTAAATTCAAAATTACAAACCTGCTAGCAGAAATTAAACATTCAACAGATACTAAGGAAACCTCTCAGAAAGTAGAAGAAAAACACAGAAGGATGGAAAATAGTTGAGTAAGACTTAAGAAAATTAGAGGATCAAACTAGTAGGTGCAAATACCCAACTAACAGACTAAGAGAAAAGAGAGAATGGGGGGGAAATTATCAAAGAAATAGTACAAGAAAATTTACAAATTGACAGACATCAGTTTCTAAGCTGAGAGAACCATGAACATCAAAAACAACGAAAAGTGTCCCAATATTGCAGAATTCTGGAGATAAAGAAAAGTAATGAAACATTTTCCAGAGACAAAAAAACAGTTCACAAACAACCAACTGGGAGGCAGAATGGCTTGAGACATCTCAACTTATATCACAGAGCTCAGCCACAAAAAAATATAGTCATAATAAAGTAGACATTAATACTTATCTAAATATAGACTGCATCAAGAAAATAAAGAGACAGGAAAAGTAAGTATGTAGTAAAAGTAAGTATGTAGTAAGGCGGTAAAGGGTGGTCAATATGTAGGTATGTAGGAAGGGTAAAGGGCGCAGTAACAATGACTGCATCAAGAAAATAAAGAGACAGGAAAAGTAGGTATGTAGTAAGGGTAAATGGTGGTCTATGAGAGAGAACTCCTCAGCAGGAAATCAATGTTTAAGTCTAAGATTTTAAAAGGAATCAATAAATGGCACTTAGAGCATACGATGTGTTGCTTAGAAATAGGTAGATGAATACTGGAAAATACAACTAAAAGAATTGAAAAGGGCTATCTTTAGGCAAAGGGGCAATAACAATATAAAAGGAACAAAGAATGGCTATTAGAGTACTATTTGAATTCTTAAACACTATACATGCAATTACCTCTAAATAAATAAAATAAATGAAAGGAAAGAAGGAAGGAAGGAAAGGAGGGAAGGAGGGAGAAAGACTTAAGAAAACAATTCTACAAATTGTTACACAGTAGAGATCTTCAATGTTCATCTACACAGAAAGAATGGAAACAGCAACTGTCCTAACATTATGCAAATGATTACTTGTGGCTTGGGATAAAATTTCCAAATATAGTGCCATACATAGATTCCAAAAGTGCTGTATTGCAAACACCTAAAATGATAACAGGCTGTGGAAAATAATATTGAATGCTTCAAAAATATGACTCAAATAATGAAGACACTGATGTCAGATTAATGTATGTAAAGAGTTGGAAGAAAATTATTCTGGGGTAGGAAAAAAGCATTAGTTATAAATACTCCATTTTGCATAAATACATACTTGCACAAAATATGTACATAACTAAATTAATTAAATGGTAATATGTATTTGACTATTTCATCTATATCCCCAAAATATTCTTTATATATTCCAATTGCCCACAAAAATTGTTTGTTTAGATCCTTTCATGGGGAGAACACAGAAAATATAAATTAGCATAAAAGGTAAATAATTTAAAAATCCATTTACCTGAATCATGCTGTTATTTTTCTTCATCAGTCTTCCTTCCAATCTAGAAGAAAGTAATATGTAAATTAAAGTGCATTCTTCATGCAATCAGCTGCTTATAAGAAAGAAAGCCTAAAATCCAAGTTAACTATTATTCACTTCTTGTTATGTATCCGTAGGAAAAAGAAAAAGCATTATTTCACCAATTCCCAACTAATTTCTGGCTGTCATGGTATTCAGAGTAAGCTTCTATTAGACAATGCCAAGCAGAAGTAAGCATGCAAATCCAATGGCAATAAAAAAATTGCACACCAAATGCATCTGATGGTATAACAGGAGTTTTAAAACCATGTACCTTTATAAATTATCTCCTCTCCATTTAGGTAAATAACTGCTAACTGACTATATAAAAAAGATAAAGAAGCGAGAAAGTGTATTTTTCAAACTGTAATAATTACAACCCTGTGGTAAATTTTCATTTTTACCAAAATGCAATCAATAGCAAGTTAAGTGGAACAACCACAGACCACATACATAAGGGTATGATCAAACAGCTTATAAATAACTCTAACCCACATCACCCTAAAGGCTTAAAAATGCTTCCGCATTTTATTTCATGAAAGACTTTTTCAGCTAAAAATGAAATATGACCCTGTGTAAGTAAAATATACAAGTGAATTAGGCTACATGCAGAAAGGGGAAAAAGTAATTTTTTAAAAAATTAGCAAGCCCAGAAATCTTGTGTGGCTTAATAAATTTTCTTAAAGTGAACACCACTCTCCCAAAAAGTCAACACTGCCCTGCCTTCATATGGCACACATTAGTTTTGCCCGTTGGGCTAGGTATAATTATTTAGGAATCTATCTGGGAGTCTAAGAATCCCTGTATCTGGTCAAAATTAAAATGCTTTAAGGAAAGGGGAGCAAGTAGTCATTGACTACAAAGTGGTATTATTTCCGAAAGATGTTAACGTGTCTGAGGAAAAAGTTTTGGCTGATTGGTTGATTGTATGAGGTCAACCTGCAAGTTCTCCAGAGACCAAAGGACAGAGAAGCAGTTTATGATAGAAACAGAAGGGGAAGGGCCTTCCTGTTGTCCAGGAGGAATGGACTTCTGGGAATAAGATGGGAGAAGGCAGGAGCAGAGGGGAGAGAAGGGAGTGGGGAGGGAGGGTGGCCTCCTTTCTATAGGTACAGAAATACCTATAAAGATAGTAACCAAGCTTATCCGTGCTAGAAGCTAGATGAAATTACTAATGCATGATCTCACTTAATCTTCCAATGCCTATGAAGCCTGTTTTGCAATCCCCAGTTGACAGATACCAATACTGAGTCTCAAATCATCAATGGTGTCTGATGTGAACAGTCTGTGGGTAAAATAATGCTATTCCTCTTTACAGCTTGAATGCAGGGCTAGATTCGCCATCAACAAAAAGAGAGAGATTCACGAAAACGAAGCCTTATAATTAAATACAGAATATGCTGTTTTGTCCCTACCCACAAATCATTTAAAGGAAAAGAATCAACTTATTGAGGACCCAAGAAGTCTTCTGAATTACCAGAAAGTGGAATAGTTTTGTTACTTGTAAAGTAGGCCCATGTTATCTTTTTGTACATCAAAGAAGTTTCAAAAGAAACTGAATTTCATAAGAGATAATTTTCTGACATGTTAACTGGTTTTATGGCACTGTGTGCTTTCCCACTGTAATGGAAGAAATCAGAAGAACACAGTGTCCCTCAGAGATAGCCACAGATGCAAAGAGGCAAATTACCACCAGATAATTATTGAAGAATCCATGATAGTGTCACCTTCAAATGGCATGCCACACCTGCATGAATATTTAATTTCTATCACAAGTACTTTCAAAAAGCAGGGGCCAAAATAGGAACATAGTTGAAAAACGGAACTTTCCATTCTGCCATTTGACAGGAAGAAAATAAATATCTACCTTTTAAGGCAATGTGTAATATATCAAAGACATGTAGCTAAAAAGATCTTCCTACATCCTCACTGGTGAACACAAAGTAAAATCTCAATGACAATAAATGATTGTGAAACATCATGAGATGCCTTTATACTTAACCCCACAAGAACCCTATGTGTGTGTGTTGGGTGAGGGGTGGAGGGTGAAGGGTTTAGAATCTCCTATTTAACCAGATGAAGACATTAGGCTCATAATAGAGGTTATGTTGTAACTTGTCCAAAGTTGCAAATTTGTCCAACATCAAACTTTGAGGAAATGGGAAAGGGTTCCAAATTACATGTCGGATACCTTTAGGCTATTGTGTTGACCATAACAACTCTGCCTTGGTGATGAATATACTTGAATCTGTTTTTCAATAAAAATTGATCCATTCACTATTTTCCAGTTTCAAATTGCTTTTGCTATCTTCCCGAGTAAAGGATCTTGACACTCCTTCCTCCTGTGAGATGGAGAATTTTGTCAGCAAGTGGCTTGAGAAGGTCTAGAGGGACTCTTTTTAGGATAGCTGCTAAAGCCTCTGAGAGCACCCGGGTGATGTTCCTTTTATAGGATCTAGCATATGGAATGCATAGTAAAAGCTGCAGGCTTGATTTTTCAGCGGACACGTGCCATGAAGATACAATGCAAAAAGTTCTTTCTGGGACTCTATGAGTAAGCAAGTTAACAATGCATACCATGCATAGTAAATCATCTAAGGAAAAAATTACCCAAATTATACTTAAAAGTCTGTGGCTCTAAACTTTTGATTGAGGATTGAGCAAAGTATGACATGAGTCTTTGCAGACATTAACCTAATGACATGCAGAATACTGGTGGTGGGGGGAGTGTGGCACAGAATAAGGTACTCTTCCCCTATTCAATAATTCTGGTATAGCAATACTCAAACTCCTATGTGTTTACCACTTGTAACTTCCTCTCAAGGAAAACACACTGGAGTAGGAGAAGGTTCAAAGGGTAAAAAGGAATGGCCATAAGAACCAAGGTTGTGGAAAGAAAAGATTAAAGTTCACAAAATTCTGCAAGGCATTGGCAAGCCCCCACTTTATAAGTTTACATTTGTAGGGCCAACCCTTTCAAAACTTATTACTTCCTCTTAGATTGGGGTGCAGGGGGAGCAGTGGTTTCATTCTGGGGCCAATCTGATTGATCAATAGGCAGTGGCCTCCTAGAAGCCACACCAGAAGACAGTGCCCAAATCAACTGCCATTGTCCGCTATGGACACACGATGTGGAAATTGCAGCAGGCACGCTTCGTTTTTGGCAGCCCTGTCCCACACCCTATTATTAGAGTTCAGTTGTCGATCCTCAGGGGAAAGACAGTGTGTAATAAGAAATAAATAATATAGAGAGACCAGGAAGAGTACTCCATTAAAACTGCATTTTATTAGAATAGTAAAAACACTGAAAACTTTCTCATTCTTACTCATAAACAGCATGTTTTGCAAATTAGAGCCTGGCTTAAGAGAATACAAAATCCAAAGTAGAAAGTTTGTGTTTTCTTCCTTTATACAAAGTTAGTGTTTTCTTCCTTTAATATCTAACTCTCAATAAACAGAGTTTAACTAACCCTTTTCTCCCTTTCTTCTGCTTGGAGGAGAACCTTTACTATCTTCAAACAGGATCCTGCTGCTGTCAAAAAGCCCCAGGCATGGTCTCTAGCTTTGGTGACTGAAGGTTGCAAGTCTCTTGCTGCAGTCACCCTTAAAGCTTCTTCCTGCTGGCAGCTGGTATCACTGGTATCAGCTCTCTTCACAAGGGAGGACTTCCCACTACACTTAACGAAAGACTTAATCTTCCCTTCACTACACTGCTTTCTTACCTTTTCTAGATTAAAAGAGTAATGCAAAGGGTAAAGTCCTTCCTCAAACTTTGCCTCAATTTACAGCCAAACATGATTGTTTTGGGTAAGTTACAGACCTCCTCTCTTGAAACTGCTGGCTGAGATGTAAAAGAAAACAAAAAATAAAAAAGACCATCCATTAACTACCCTGGGAGTTCAGCAACTTCCAAACTGGCCTCTCAAACCGGTTTCCCTTTTCCTGTAAAACGCATTTGAATAGAGTTTAGAATAACAGATTCACCTAGGAGGAAAGAACAGACTTATGGATTGCAATCTACTAAAAATGTAGGAGCTGAATGAGGGATTTAATGAGGGATAAAAATTCCAAAGAAATATACTACACACCCTTAAGGAAGTAGTTACTAAAAAAGATGATAAAGAGTGAAAGCAACTATGCTCCAGGCAATGGTGAGATAAGTTCATGGGAACAAACCATAACTGGTAAAAGACTGGAAACTAAACCAGTTTTAAGCACGACCTCAAAGCAAACAACACCTCCGCTCACCTTCCCAGAAAGAGTGACCAAGTGCCTTCGCTTACTGCTGCAGAAAAGAAGAAGTACTTTATCCCTTCATTCGGCAAACATTTATTGAGCAAGAAGGTGGGATTATATAGAGATGAAAGAGCAGCTTCCCTGAAGGAGCTTAGTTTAGCAAGGAGAAAAAAAACACATAAATCAGTATTTACATTTCTATGTGGTACCAGGGAGTCATAACACTGAGCTAAAGCACAACATCAACCAACACAACCACTTCCCTGGTAGGGGCCAGACACAATTCTGATATTTTTAGGTAACTCATTTGAATCTTTGAAACAAGCCTATGAGACTGGCAAACACTTTTCCTGGTTTACTGGTGCAATTAGCGTGTATGAGATATAAAAAAGGATCTTTCAAACACAGAGTTTACTCAAATTAAATCTTCAAATTATGCCTCCCTCCCCAAATACAAATCTCAATCCCTATTTTAGCTTTTGCAGGTTGCCCAGCAGTATCTGAGGTTCCCAGAACTCTCGCTGAGAAATTCACAAATTGAAGAAATTATTTCCTACATCACAGGACTCGTTATCAAGGGCCACGTCAGTAATGCCCTGCCTACAGTAGAGCATTACTAAAAACAAACAAAATGAGAGCAGTTTTGTTTGTTTTTAAATCCTTACCCACAGATGTACCAAAATAATCTTCTACGTTATTTAATCCTAGCTTCGTCAGGGGCAAGAGTCACACCACGTCTGTGTTTAATGAGTTCTCAGTACATGAGACAGACACTGGTTAGCACCCAGTAAAATCATATCGTATTTGTGTTACCAATTAAATCAAATGGATCTTCTCAGTTATTGTCAAGACCACTTTTACTTTCTATATTTATTTTCTTTTTTGATTTTATTTTTATTTGACAAATAATTGTATACATTTATGGAGAATAATGTGATGTATTTTGATATATATTTACAATGTGGAAAGATTAAATCAGGCTAACATATCTATCACCTCACATACTTATTTTTTGTGGTAAAAACATGTAAAATCTATTCTAGCAATTTTGAAATCTATGATGCATTATTTATTAATATGACAGTCATCATTCCTTATAGTAGATTTCTTGAACTTATTCCTCCAATTTATCTCCCCATCCCCTCTCCCCCTTAACCATCCCAGCCTCTGGTAACCACCATTCTACTCTCTACTTCTATGAGTTTGACTTTTTAAGAATCTACATATATGTGAGATCATGTAGTAACATAATGTCCTCCAGGTTCATCCATGTTGATGCAAATGCGCCCACTTTTTAAAGGGTGAAGAGTATTCCATAGTGTGTATATGCCACATTTTCTTTATCCATTCATCTGATAATGGACTCCTAGGTTGTTTCCATATCTCAGCTATTGTGAATAGTGACACAATAAACATGGGAGTGCACATATCTCTTCTGCATTCAGATCAAATTTCTTTGGCTACATTCTTAGAAGTGAGATTACTGAATCATATGGTAATTCTATTTTCGGTTTTCTGACAAATCTCCATACTGGTTTCCATGATGATTGCATTAATTTTCATTCCCACCAAAAGTGCACAGGGGTTCCCTTTTTTCCACACTAGTCATTATTTTCAAGACTAGATTACTACCCGCCCTCAAAAGAGTTATTCATTGCTAGGTATTTGCTCCTGCAGTTCCCTATAATGCCCTTCCTCTATCCTGCTCCCCACACTGTTAATCCATTCCCATCACCTGGCTTAGAAAGAACAATGGAAATATGATCCAATAAAATTTGGATTAGGAATTAGGTAATTACCACCACATGATTTTGGAATATAATATAATTTCCATTAAAACCGTCTTCACACAACATGTTTAACTAAAGTAGTACTAACATGTTTAGTTTAACTAAATAGAACTGTTAATGCTTAAAAAAATAGTTCTCTACACTATGTTTAATCTACTGTGGTTCAAGCAGCCTCTGTCTGGAACAGTAATACTCTCTCCTTAACTAGTCAGAAAGTCCCACAAGGATGGGTTATGTCATATCCCAAACAGACAGTACATAATCCAACAATTTAATAAATATTTTTAAAACTAAATGCCTTGCCTTTTGAACTTGGATTCTTTTTAGAATTTATGGAGAATAAATATCTATTGAAAATTAAAGGAATTCATAGAACAATGAGACTTTCTGAATTTCCTTTTAAAACACTTTGAAGGAACATTTTGGCTTCAAACAAAAATTCAACATGAATTGTCAAAACCAAGCTATCATAATAAACTTTCCAAGTCTCAAAACCTGTCTTCTGTGTTTCTAAAAGAGGCAAAATTTGGCAAGCAAATAAGAATAAAATGGACCAATAAAAAACTTCGAGTTTACTCCAATATAGAAACAGACTAAAATATAAAACCCAATTACAATGCAGATTACAGGAAATGTTTTTAACCAAGAATAAACTAATTTATTCAAACTGGATTTGTAGTAGACGTATTTCAGAGTATCTGTTCACCCACTCCCATTTCTGGGGGACTCTGCCATATTCCCAGGCCCAGTTGTCTCTCAACTGCCATCTTCTATCACCTGACACAACTCCACAAGCACACAGCCATAGCTGATCAAACCCGAAAGAACACCTGACCCAAAGAGAGCCATTCAGAAGCTGGCCAGAAGCCTGTGGCTTGGGTTTGATTACTTGCTAAAATGATGAACTCAGTCAATCAGCTTTGCCACTGCAGGAACTAGAATCAAGAAACCCTGAAGGAACTTGCCAGTTAGATGTCATGGTGAAAGGTCAAGAGGAACACTTAAGCTCAGGGCAATCATCATGGGCCAAGTCTGCCACAGAAAGCAAGTACTGGACTGAAGCCAGTTCCCAACCTGAGGTCTCAGGGGATCTACATTTTGAACCCTCTTCTTGAGTGAGAGTGACCTGTTTTTTGCCACCAAAAGACAGAGCTTATGATAGCAACCTAAGTTAAAATCTTATGTAAAGACCTACCATTGACATATTTAGTAAGAACAAAATCACCTTCTTTTAGATAATTAGAGGAAACAGCTTACATCACTTAGCAATCTGAAGTCAGGTTTGTTTGTTTGTTTGTTTGCTTAAAAAAATAAAA